ATTGCCCTGGTCTGTCCTTGTGTACATATAGCGTGTCAACTTACTGTCTGGGCCTGTCCTTATGTACATACAGCGTGTCAACTTACTGTCTGGGCCTGTCCTTGTGTACAATGGGCGTGTCAACTTACTGCCTGGGTCTGTCCTTGTGTACATATAGCGTGTCAATTTACTGTCTGGGCCTGTCCTTATGTACAATGGGCGTGTCAACGTACTGTCTGGGCCTGTCCTTGTGTATATAGAGCGTGTCAACTTACTGTGTGGGCCTGTCCTTGTGTACATAGAGCGTGTCAACTTACTGTCTGGGTCTGTCCTTGTGTACATAGAGTGTCTCAACTTACTGTCTGGGCCTGTCCTTGTGTACATAGAGTGTGTCAACTTACTGCCTGGGCCTGTCCTTGTGTACATATAGCGTGTCAACTTACTGTCTGGGCCTGTCCTTATGTACATAGGGCGTGTCAACTTACTGCCTGGGCCTGTCCTTATGTACATAGAGCGTGTCAACTTACTGTCTTGGCCTGTCCTTGTGTATATAGAGCGTGTCAACTTACTGTCTGGGCCTGTCCTTATGTAGATAGGGCGTGTCAACTTACTGCCTGGGTCTGTCCTTGTGTACATAGAGCGTGTCTACTTTCTGCCTGGGCCTGTCCTTGTGTACATAGAGTGTGTCAACCTACTGTGTGGGCCTGTCCTTGTGTACATAGAGTGTGTTAACTTACTGTCTGGGCCTGTCCTTGTTTACAATGGGCGTGTCAACTTACTGCCTGGGTCTGTCCTTGTGTACATATAGTGTGTCAACTTACTGTCTGGGCCTGTCCTTATGTACATAGAGTGTGTCAACTTACAGTCTGGGCCTGTCCTTGTGAACATAGAGCGTGTCAACTTACTGTCTGGGCCTGTCCTTGTGTACAATGGGCGTGTCAACTTACTGGCTGGGTCTGTCCTTGTGTACATATAGTGTGTCAACTTACTGTCTGGGCCTGTCCTTATGTACATAGAGTGTGTCAACTTACAATCTGGGCCTGTCCTTGTGTACATAGAGCGTGTCAACCTACTGTTTGGGCCTGTCCTTGTGTACATAGAGCGTGTCAACTTACTGTGTGGGCCTGTCCTTGTGTACATAGAGCATGTCAACTTACTGCCTGGGCCTGTCCTTGTGTACATAGAGTGTGTCAACCTACTGTGTGGGCCTGTCCTTGTGTACATAGAGTGTGTTAACTTACTGTGTGGGCCTGTCCTTGTGTACGATGGGCGTGTCAACTTATTGCCTGGGTCTGTCCTTGTGTACATATAGCGGGTCAACTTACTGTCTGGGCCTGTCCTTATGTACATACAGCGTGTCAACTTACTGTCTGGGCCTGTCCTTGTGTACAATGGACGTGTCAACTTACTGCCTGGGTCTGTCCTTGTGTACATACAGCGTGTCAATTTACTGTCTGGGCCTGTCCTTATGTACAATGGGCGTGTCAACTTACTGTCTGGGCCTGTCCTTGTGTATATAGAGCGTGTCAACTTACTGTGTGGGCCTGTCCTTGTGTACATAGAGCGTGTCAACTTACTGTCTGGGTCTGTCCTTGTGTACATAGAGTGTCTCAACTTACTGTCTGGGCCTGTCCTTGTGTACATAGAGCGTGTCAACTTACTGCCTGGGCCTGTCCTTGTGTACATATAGCGTGTCAACTTACTGTCTGGGCCTGTCCTTATGTACATAGGGCGTGTCAACTTACTGCCTGGGCCTGTCCTTGTGTACATATAGCGTGTCAACTTACTGCCTGGTCCTGTCCTTGTGTACATAGAGTGTGTTAACTTACTGTCTGGGCCTGTCCTTGTTTACAATGGGCGTGTCAACTTACTGCCTGGGTCTGTCCTTGTGTTCATATAGCGTGTCAACTTACTGTCTGGGCCTGTCCTTGTGTACAATGGGCGTGTCAACTTACTGCCTGGGTCTGTCCTTGTGTACATATAGCGTGTCAACTTACTGTCTGGGCCTGTCCTTGTGTACATAGAGCGTGTCAACCTACTGTTTGGGCCTGTCCTTGGGTACAAAGAGCGTGTCAATTTACTGTCTGGGCCTGTCCTTGTGTACAATGGGCGTGTCAACTTACTGCCTGGGTCTGTCCTTGTGTACATATAGTGTGTCAACTTACTGTCTGGGCCTGTCCTTATGTACATAGAGTGTGTCAACTTACAGTCTGGGCCTGTCCTTGTGTACATAGAGCGTGTCAACTTACTGTCTGGGCCTGTCCTTGTGTACAATGGGCGTGTCAACTTACTGCCTGGGTCTGTCCTTGTGTACATATAGTGTGTCAACTTACTGTCTGGGCCTGTCCTTATGTACATAGAGTGTGTCAACTTACAATCTGGGCCTGTCCTTGTGTACATAGAGCGTGTCAACCTACTGTTTGGGCCTGTCCTTGTGTACATAGAGCGTGTCAACTTACTGTGTGGGCCTGTACTTGTGTACATAGAGCATGTCAACTTACTGCCTGGGCCTGTCCTTGTGTACATAGAGTGTGTCAACCTACTGTGTGGGCCTGTCCTTGTGTACATAGAGTGTGTTAACTTACTGTGTGGGCCTGTCCTTGTGTACGATGGGCGTGTCAACTTATTGCCTGGGTCTGTCCTTGTGTACATATAGCGGGTCAACTTACTGTCTGGGCCTGTCCTTACGTACATACAGCGTGTCAACTTACTGTCTGGGTCTGTCCTTGTGTACAATGGACGTGTCAACTTACTGCCTGGGTCTGTCCTTGTGTACATACAGCGTGTCAATTTACTGTCTGGGCCTGTCCTTATGTACAATGGGCGTGTCAACTTACTGTCTGGGCCTGTCCTTGTGTATATAGAGCGTGTCAACTTACTGTGTGGGCCTGTCCTTGTGTACATAGAGCGTGTCAACTTACTGTCTGGGTCTGTCCTTGTGTACATAGAGTGTCTCAACTTACTGTCTGGGCCTGTCCTTGTGTACATAGAGCGTGTCAACTTACTGCCTGGGCCTGTCCTTGTGTACATATAGCGTGTCAACTTACTGTCTGGGCCTGTCCTTATGTACATAGAGTGTGTCAACCTACTGTGTGGGCCTGTCCTTGTGTACATAGAGTGTGTTAACTTACTGTCTGGGCCTGTCCTTGTTTACAATGGGCGTGTCAACTTACTGCCTGGGTCTGTCCTTATGTACATAGAGTGTGTCAACTTACAATCTGGGCCTGTCCTTGTGTACATAGAGCGTGTCAACCTACTGTTTGGGCCTGTCCTTGTGTACATAGAGCGTGTCAACTTACTGTCTGGGCCTGTCCTTGTGTACATAGAGCATGTCAACTTACTGCCTGGGCCTGTCCTTGTGTACATAGAGTGTGTCAACCTACTGTGTGGGCCTGTCCTTGTGTACATAGAGTGTGTTAACTTACTGTGTGGGCCTGTCCTTGTGTACGATGGGCGTGTCAACTTATTGCCTGGGTCTGTCCTTGTGTACATATAGCGGGTCAACTTACTGTCTGGGCCTGTCCTTATGTACATACAGCGTGTCAACTTACTGTCTGGGCCTGTCCTTGTGTACAATGGACGTGTCAACTTACTGCCTGGGTCTGTCCTTGTGTACATACAGCGTGTCAATTTACTGTCTGGGCCTGTCCTTATGTACAATGGGCGTGTCAACTTACTGTCTGGGCCTGTCCTTGTGTATATAGAGCGTGTCAACTTACTGTGTGGGCCTGTCCTTGTGTACATAGAGCGTGTCAACTTACTGTCTGGGTCTGTCCTTGTGTACATAGAGTGTCTCAACTTACTGTCTGGGCCTGTCCTTGTGTACATAGAGCGTGTCAACTTACTGCCTGGGCCTGTCCTTGTGTACATATAGCGTGTCAACTTACTGTCTGGGCCTGTCCTTATGTACATAGGGCGTGTCAACTTACTGCCTGGGCCTGTCCTTGTGTACATATAGCGTGTCAACTTACTGCCTGGTCCTGTCCTTGTGTACATAGAGTGTGTTAACTTACTGTCTGGGCCTGTCCTTGTTTACAATGGGCGTGTCAACTTACTGCCTGGGTCTGTCCATGTGTACATATAGCGTGTCAACTTACTGTCTGGGCCTGTCCTTGTGTACAATGGGCGTGTCAACTTACTGCCTGGGTCTGTCCTTGTGTACATATAGCGTGTCAACTTACTGTCTGGGCCTGTCCTTGTGTACATAGAGCGTGTCAACCTACTGTTTGGGCCTGTCCTTGGGTACAAAGAGCGTGTCAATTTACTGTCTGGGCCTGTCCTTGTGTACAATGGGCGTGTCAACTTACTGTCTGGGCCTGTCCTTGTGTATATAGAGCGTGTCAACTTACTGTTTCGGCCTGTCCTTGTGTACAATGGGCGTGTCAACTTACTGTCTGGGCCTGTCCTTGTGTACAATGGGCGTGTCAACTTACTGTCAGGGCCTGTCCTTGTGTACGTAGAGTGTGTCAACTTACTGTTTGGGTCTGTCCTTGTGTACATAGAGTGTCTCAACTTACTGTTTCGGCCTGTCCGTGTGTGCAATGGGCGTGTCAACTTACTGTCTGGGCCTGTCCTTGTGTACATAGAGCGTGTCAACTTACTGTCTGGGCCTGTCCTTGTGTACGTAGAGTGTGTCAACTTACTGTCTGGGCCTGTCCTTGTGTACATAGAGCGTGTCAACTTACTGCCTGGGCCTGTCCTTGTGTACATAGAGTGTCTCAACTTACTGTTTCGGCCTGTCCTTGTGTACAATGGGCGTGTCAACTTACTGTGTGGGCCTGTGCTTGTGTACAATGGGCGTGTCAACTTACTGTCTGGGCCTGTCCTTGTGTACAATGGGCGTGTCAACTTACTGTCTGGGCCTGTGCTTGTGTGCAATGGGCGTGTCAACTTACTGTCTGGGCCTGTGCTTGTGTGCAATGGGCGTGTCAACTTACTATCTGGGCCTGTTCTTGTGTGCAATGAACGTGTCAATTTACTGTCTGGGCCTGTCCTTATGTACATAGAGCGTGTCAACTTACTGTCTGGGCCAGCCCTTTGAGGTTGCCCAATGCTGGGGTCAGGGAGTGTACAGCAGTTGACTCTACGTTTCCGAGGAATGTTTTAAGGTCTCCAAAGGCGGTGCCAGTCAGAAGACCAAGAGCGTCACCAAGAGTGTCCTTCAATCCGTTGAAAATATCACCGAGAAGACCACGACGGCTATTCTTGGAGAAGAGCTGAAAACATACAGCACTGTCATTTTATGAGGACTGAACAGAGATGCTGTCACTTCGCATGCAGGGCGTGGATCTGACTGGAGAATGGGGTAATTCCTCCTTGAATGCATTGACTCATTACTTATATCTGGATAAATAAACAGGTCTTGATAATCATTGGTCATGGTCATGGCAATGTTCACTTATCACGTGACACAAATCCCCACTTTGCCTTGTTCTATCAACCCTGTAAGGAAGCCAACGGCCATTGTGGTCTAGTGGGAGAGCATCCGTCCGGAGAGCGAAATGTCGGGTGTTCGCCGCGTCATACCACAAGACGTTAACAAATTGTAGCCGTTTTTCCCCTGCCTTGCGCTCGGCATTGAGGGACTAATACAAGGACTTGTTATTCTGTGTGGGGTATTCATGATAAACTGTGGCATGGTATCTCAGTGGCTAGCACTTTTGCACGTCGCAACATAAGTGCAATAACCTTGAACCCGATATCTATACCCGTCTTCACCTCACCACCTGTAAAAATGATTAAACAATTAGCCAACAATTCAAAAGAAATCATTATTTACCTTAGAAACTGCATTGGGGACAATGTCGCCGATTATTTTATCAAGATCAACGTCAAACGTTCCCTTCTCTGGAAGAAAACAAAAATACGTCAGGACTCGATTAACATATATTGGACATCGTTTTGTAAAAACACATTGTGCGTCACGAATGACTAGGGTTATACTAATCTGACGAATTAGTTTTACATAAGATAAAATTAACAAAATATATCACCTTACAAAACATTACGGTGCAGTATATGCCCAGCATCGTTCACACGTACCCATCATGGACTCGACATCCTTCTCCAGGGTGGACAGCACCATCTGGGCGAGGGCTTTGACATCCTGGCCACTGGTCAGACCCTGGGCAGCTGTCTTCAGGTTGCCCTCAAGGTTCGTGGCGATCTGAATACGGAAACATTTCACATTTTGTCATCGAATTCATTTGTGAATATTGATGTGTACGGCGTCGATATTATCCAGAAGAAAATATACTTCACCTTCCAAGGAGTTCATACGGATCAAATGATTTGTCATCTTGCTTTCGACCGTTTCCACGTTCACCGGTTTCTGTGGCTAATAATCATGAGTGAATAAGTATGGTTTTATGCCGCTTTTAGCAATATCCCAGCAATATCACGGCGGGGGACACCGGAAATGGGCTTCACACATTGTACCCATGTCGGGAATCGAACCCAGGTCTTCGGCGTGACGAGCGAACGCTTTAACTACTGGGCTACCCGACCGCTATTCTTGACCTGTGCCTACAACTGTATATACTGGACGAAAAACAGAAACACAAATAATACGTCTAGTTACGTAATAGAAATATATGTTGGTACATGATGTTATCAATCATTGACTGTTTCCCTCGCATACACAGATCATACTTGTAACATCAACTTTTATATGGCTTCAAACCTTGCAGTGAAAGGTTAGATAGGATGCGATTTGGAGAGGCATTCACAAATCTCAAGCCCTGGTGATGTGGCTATTGCATTGAATGTACATAGTGACACCTTGAACGGACGTTGTAAGGGCATGCTTTGAGTCAAGACCGTCAAATGCATCGGAACTACATGCAGGTTCGGTCCACAGAAACTGAACGGAACACGATAGACACCCACGGCAGACACACACACAGAATATGTTTCCGGGAATCATGTTAAGTAGGGAGAGAGACAAACAATTTGGAATGTCTCTAAACTATCACAGAGACATGGAACAAGCAAGCCAATCCTATCCTATCCTATCCTCACCACATATTCAGGTGTGACCATGCTGGTCATTTGATTGCTTTCTGAATACTGCCTTGATTGTTTGCTCCTCACTTGACCCTGACCCTGACCCTGACCCTGACCTGTTTGCTTCTCAGCTGGAAGTATCCTCCCTACACTGGAAATCTATATGTTGTGTTTTTTATTTATTGGTGACTTCAGAGGAAATGTTACGATGTTTGTGTTTGCCATAAAAAGTCTTCATGATTGTCCATTTGACTAGCTGGGTTGTGAAATAAGAAGAAAACATCTTTATTCAGAGTTGGGAGATAATAAGCGTGAATTGTATTCACCTTCTCTGCTCCCTCCACAGACTCCTTCAGCTTGTCCACCACAGAGAGCATCTCATCCCTCACATGTTCCAGAAGTCCGGCCTCCACACTGAGAACAAACACGATGCTTTCATACATGACATGACATCTCTGGTACTGAACATGATTTTCAAACACATACACAGCGCTGTTATAGAGGGACTCTCATCTTTTACTCTGAACGCAAGAACAAACACATCCATACATGACATGCCATCCTACACTGAACATGATTTACAGACACATACACAACACTGTTACAGAGGGCCTCTCATATTTTACTCTGAACGCAAGAACAAACAGCAATGCCACTGGACGCTTCTTATCATCATCTTCTTACAATATAGAGCGAGATCGATCAGCAAATATATTCACAACCATCAGGACACATTGCGCATTTACCTTGTTTATAAGACAGTCAATGTGAAGAGGGGTATTGCTTTTCTGAATATCTCAATTCCTTCCAACTGATGGAAAAGAAGTATCATTACACAACAGGCTGATGCTGTTCTCTCAGCACGTTTTAGAAGCAGCACGAGTCCACAACTCTGTCAAAGGGTTATTCTGGAAAGATTTTCCTAGGCCCACCAAAACCTTTTGATTTAACAGTAAAACCATAAATTTCTGTAAGGTAAATAATACCACTCACGCTCCACGCTTTCCAACCCCAGCGAGAAGAGCAGGAAGAGCGGTCTGGATGAGTGTTGGTGCAAGGTCTGGAAAGGAGTCGAATATTAAGATTCCAAACAAAATTAATATGTTTCTCGTCTCTTGCTGATTTCTCGACATTGTCAAATCATTTGGTAAATGGAACAATTGTTGTCTGATATCACCTTTTACCAAGAGAATGAATCTTTAACGATGTTTTCCCAAATTATTTTTGTATGCTTGAAGTGAATAGTAACATACTCACTCTCAATTTCATGGACTGCTTCTGTAAAGTAAATTGAAACTCTGTGAGACGATCACTTCGAACACTAGTACATCAACAATCATACCATTTCTTTTACCCTCTTGAGACTTATGTATTATGGTTAATCCCAAACAGTTGAATCTATTGCATGTTGATGCCATTAATGTATTTTATCAATCATTAAACGTTATCTCATTTTGGTTATGGGTATAATAATACTAATAAGCCAATCTCTACATTCCAAACAGTTCCTTGTTTTCACACAATTTGAATTGGTGAAACTCAACATTTTAAATAATAACTATCATATATATGTAATACTACCTTTCTTGATACACGATATGCACGACGTGTTTAAATCATTGCTATTAGTATTTATTTCACCGGTATGTTCATATTACTAACCTTTGCCAATATCTTTAAGAGTGTTCCTCAGTGAATCCAGGAAGCTTCTGCGCTCACTGAAATTGAGAACAGAAAGTTTCTTTTATAACTGTTGGTTTGTGAATGAAAAGGACTTCCTAATGGAAAATGATAATGATAGCATGATGAACAGCAAGCATAATTCTATTCCCTTTTTTGTGAGAAATAAGGGCGATTTTAATTTTAGTCGATTTCTAAACAAATATGTGGGGATTTGGAACTTATCCGTTACTGGAATCCCGAAACAAGAATCGGTCTTCCTGGCTAAGATAGTGATAGCTGTTTTATTACTCAGAGTTACTCATAATTAAAAATCACTTGAAAGCAAAAACATATGATATCAAACTAATGTTTTGTATATCAGGACATTACTTACACATCACGTTTTCCAACACCAGCGAGAAGAGTAGGAAGGGCGCTCTGGATGATTGTTGGTGCAAGATCTGGAGAGGACTCGAATATTAAGATTCCAAACAAAATTAATATGATTCTAGTAAAAATTTTTTTCCTTTTCATGTAGAATTGGAAACCACCATGTTTCCATTATTTGTCAGCATATACTTCAGGTGCCATGACAGGTTGTTTGTTGTCTCTTGCTGATTTCTCGACATTGTCAAATCATTTGGTAAATGGAACAATTGTTGTCTGATATCACCTTTTACCAAGAGAATGAATCTTTAACGATGATTTCCCAAATTATTTTTGTATGCTTCAAGTGTATAGTAACATACTCACTCTCAATTTCATGGACTGCTTCTGTAAAGTAAATTGAAACTCTGTGAGACGATCACTTCGAACACTAGTACATCAACAATCATACCATTTCTTTTACCCTCTTGAGACTTATGTATTATGGTTAATCCCAAACAGTTGAATCTATTTCATGTTGATGCCATTTATGTATTTTATCAATCATTAAACGTTATCTCATTTTGGTTATGGGTATAATAATACTAATAAGCCAATCTCTACATTCCAAACAGTTCCTTGTTTTCACACAATTTGAATTGGTGAAACTCAACATTTTAAATAATAACTATCATATATATGTAATACTACCTTTCTTGATACACGATATGCACGACGTGTTTAAATCATTGCTATTAGTATTTATTTCACCGGTATGTTCATATTACTAACCTTTGCCAATATCTTTAAGAGTGTTCCTCAGTGAATCCAGGAAGCTTCTGCGCTCACTGAAATTGAGAACAGAAAGTTTCTTTTATAACTGTTGGTTTGTGAATGAAAAGGACTTCCTAATGGAAAATGATAATGATAGCATGATGAACAGCAAGCATGATTCTATTCCCTTTTTTGTGAGAAATAAGGGCGATTTTAATTTTAGTCGATTTCTAAACAAATATGTGGGGATTTGGAACTTATCCGTTACTGGAATCCCGAAACAAGAATCGGTCTTCCTGGCTAAGAGAGTGATAGCTGTTTTATTACTCAGAGTTACTCATAATTAAAAATCACTTGAAAGCAAAAACATATGATATCAAACTAATGTTTTGTATATCAGGACATTACTTACACATCACGTTTTCCAACACCAGCGAGAAGAGTAGGAAGGGCGCTCTGGATGATTGTTGGTGCAAGATCTGGAGAGGACTCGAATATTAAGATTCCAAACAAAATTAATATGATTCTAGTAAAAATGTTTTTCCTTTTCATGTAGAATTGGAAACCACCATGTTTCCATTATTTGTCAGCATATACTTCAGGTGCCATGACAGGTTGTTTGTTGTCTCTTGCTGATTTCTCGACATTGTCAAATCATTTGGTAAATGGAACAATTGTTGTCTGATATCACCTTTTACCAAGAGAATGAATCTTTAACGATGTTTTCCCAAATTATTTTTGTATGCTTGAAGTGAATAGTAACATACTCACTCTCAATTTCATGGACTGCTTCTGTAAAGTAAATTGAAACTCTGTGAGACGATCACTTCGAACACTAGTACATCAACAATCATACCATTTCTTTTACCCTCTTGAGACTTATGTATTATGGTTAATCCCAAACAGTTGAATCTATTTCATGTTGATGCCATTTATGTATTTTATCAATCATTAAACGTTATCTTATTTTGGTTATGGGTATAATAATACTAATAAGCCAATCTCTACATTCCAAACAGTTCCTTGTTTTCACACAATTTGAATTGGTGAAACTCAACATTTTAAATAATAACTATCATATATATGTAATACTACCTTTCTTGATACACGATATGCACGACGTGTTTAAATCATTGCTATTAGTATTTATTTCACCGGTATGTTCATATTACTAACCTTTGCCAATATCTTTAAGAGTGTTCCTCAGTGAATCCAGGAAGCCTCTGCGCTCACTGAAATTGAGAACAGAAAGTTTCTTTTATAACTGTTGGTTTGTGAATGAAAAGGACTTCCTAATGGAAAATGATAATGATAGCATGATGAACAGCAAGCATGATTCTATTCCCTTTTTTGTGAGAAATAAGGGCGATTTTAATTTTAGTCGATTTCTAAACAAATATGTGGGGATTTGGAACTTATCCGTTACTGGAATCCCGAAACAAGAATCGGTCTTCCTGGCTAAGATAGTGATAGCTGTTTTATTACTCAGAGTTACTCATAATTAAAAATCACTTGAAAGCAAAAACATATGATATCAAACTAATGTTTTGTATATCAGGACATTACTTACACATCACGTTTTCCAACACCAGCGAGAAGAGTAGGAAGGGCGCTCTGGATGATTGTTGGTGCAAGATCTGGAGAGGACTCGAATATTAAGGTTCCAAACAAAATTAATATGATTCTAGTAAAAATGTTTTTCCTTTTCATGTAGAATTGGAAACCACCATGTTTCCATTATTTGTCAGCATATACTTCAGGTGCCATGACAGGTTGTTTGTTGTCTCTTGCTGATTTCTCGACATTGTCAAATCATTTGGTAAATGGAACAATTGTTGTCTGATATCACCTTTTACCAAGAGAATGAATCTTTAACGATGTTTTCCCAAATTATTTTTGTATGCTTGAAGTGAATAGTAACATACTCACTCTCAATTTCATGGACTGCTTCTGTAAAGTAAATTGAAACTCTGTGAGACGATCACTTCGAACACTAGTACATCAACAATCATACCATTTCTTTTACCCTCTTGAGACTTATGTATTATGGTTAATCCCAAACAGTTGAATCTATTTCATGTTGATGCCATTTATGTATTTTATCAATCATTAAACGTTATCTCATTTTGGTTATGGGTATAATAATACTAATAAGCCAATCTCTACATTCCAAACAGTTCCTTGTTTTCACACAATTTGAATTGGTGAAACTCAACATTTTAAATAATAACTATCATATATATGTAATACTACCTTTCTTGATACACGATATGCACGACGTGTTTAAATCATTGCTATTAGTATTTATTTCACCGGTATGTTCATATTACTAACCTTTGCCAATATCTTTAAGAGTGTTCCTCAGTGAATCCAGGAAGCCTCTGCGCTCACTGAAATTGAGAACAGAAAGTTTCTTTTATAACTGTTGGTTTGTGAATGAAAAGGACTTCCTAATGGAAAATGATAATGATAGCATGATGAACAGCAAGCATGATTCTATTCCCTTTTTTGTGAGAAATAAGGGCGATTTTAATTTTAGTCGATTTCTAAACAAATATGTGGGGATTTGGAACTTATCCGTTACTGGAATCCCGAAACAAGAATCGGTCTTCCTGGCTAAGAGAGTGATAGCTGTTTTATTACTCAGAGTTACTCATAATTAAAAATCACTTGAAAGCAAAAACATATGATATCAAACTAATGTTTTGTATATCAGGACATTACTTACACATCACGTTTTCCAACACCAGCGAGAAGAGTAGGAAGGGCGCTCTGGATGATTGTTGGTGCAAGATCTGGAGAGGACTCGAATATTAAGATTCCAAACAAAATTAATATGATTCTAGTAAAAATGTTTTTCCTTTTCATGTAGAATTGGAAACCACCATGTTTCCATTATTTGTCAGCATATACTTCAGGTGCCATGACAGGTTGTTTGTTGTCTCTTGCTGATTTCTCGACATTGTCAAATCATTTGGTAAATGGAACAATTGTTGTCTGATATCACCTTTTACCAAGAGAATGAATCTTTAACGATGTTTTCCCAAATTATTTTTGTATGCTTGAAGTGAATAGTAACATACTCACTCTCAATTTCATGGACTGCTTCTGTAAAGTAAATTGAAACTCTGTGAGACGATCACTTCGAACACTAGTACATCAACAATCATACCATTTCTTTTACCCTCTTGAGACTTATGTATTATGGTTAATCCCAAACAGTTGAATCTATTTCATGTTGATGCCATTTATGTATTTTATCAATCATTAAACGTTATCTCATTTTGGTTATGGGTATAATAATACTAATAAGCCAATCTCTACATTCCAAACAGTTCCTTGTTTTCACACAATTTGAATTGGTGAAACTCAACATTTTAAATAATAACTATCATATATATGTAATACTACCTTTCTTGATACACGATATGCACGACGTGTTTAAATCATTGCTATTAGTATTTATTTCACCGGTATGTTCATATTACTAACCTTTGCCAATATCTTTAAGAGTGTTCCTCAGTGAATCCAGGAAGCCTCTGCGCTCACTGAAATTGAGAACAGAAAGTTTCTTTTATAACTGTTGGTTTGTGAATGAAAAGGACTTCCTAATGGAAAATGATAATGATAGCATGATGAACAGCAAGCATGATTCTATTCCCTTTTTTGTGAGAAATAAGGGCGATTTTAATTTTAGTCGATTTCTAAACAAATATGTGGGGATTTGGAACTTATCCGTTACTGGAATCCCGAAACAAGAATCGGTCTTCCTGGCTAAGATAGTGATAGCTGTTTTATTACTCAGAGTTACTCATAATTAAAAATCACTTGAAAGCAAAAACATATGATATCAAACTAATGTTTTGTATATCAGGACATTACTTACACATCACGTTTTCCAACACCAGCGAGAAGAGTAGGAAGGGCGCTCTGGATGATTGTTGGTGCAAGATCTGGAGAGGACTCGAATATTAAGATTCCAAACAAAATTAATATGATTCTAGTAAAAATGTTTTTCCTTTTCATGTAGAATTGGAAACCACCATGTTTCCATTATTTGTCAGCATATACTTCAGGTGCCATGACAGGTTGTTTGTTGTCTCTTGCTGATTTCTCGACATTGTCAAATCATTTGGTAAATGGAACAATTGTTGTCTGATATCACCTTTTACCAAGAGAATGAATCTTTAACGATGTTTTCCCAAATTATTTTTGTATGCTTGAAGTGAATAGTAACATACTCACTCTCAATTTCATGGACTGCTTCTGTAAAGTAAATTGAAACTCTGTGAGACGATCACTTCGAACACTAGTACATCAACAATCATACCATTTCTTTTACCCTCTTGAGACTTATGTATTATGGTTAATCCCAAACAGTTGAATCTATTTCATGTTGATGCCATTTATGTATTTTATCAATCATTAAACGTTATCTCATTTTGGTTATGGGTATAATAATACTAATAAGCCAATCTCTACATTCCAAACAGTTCCTTGTTTTCACACAATTTGAATTGGTGAAACTCAACATTTTAAATAATAACTATCATATATATGTAATACTACCTTTCTTGATACACGATATGCACGACGTGTTTAAATCATTGCTATTAGTATTTATTTCACCGGTATGTTCATATTACTAACCTTTGCCAATATCTTTAAGAGTGTTCCTCAGTGAATCCAGGAAGCCTCTGCGCTCACTGAAATTGAGAACAGAAAGTTTCTTTTATAACTGTTGGTTTGTGAATGAAAAGGACTTCCTAATGGAAAATGATAATGATAGCATGATGAACAGCAAGCATGATTCTATTCCCTTTTTTGTGAGAAATAAGGGCGATTTTAATTTTAGTCGATTTCTAAACAAATATGTGGGGATTTGGAACTTATCCGTTACTGGAATCCCGAAACAAGAATCGGTCTTCCTGGCTAAGAGAGTGATAGCTGTTTTATTACTCAGAGTTACTCATAATTAAAAATCACTTGAAAGCAAAAACATATGATATCAAACTAATGTTTTGTATATCAGGACATTACTTACACATCACGTTTTCCAACACCAGCGAGAAGAGTAGGAAGGGCGCTCTGGATGATTGTTGGTGCAAGATCTGGAGAGGACTCGAATATTAAGATTCCAAACAAAATTAATATGATTCTAGTAAAAATGTTTTTCCTTTTCATGTAGAATTGGAAACCACCATGTTTCCATTATTTGTCAGCATATACTTCAGGTGCCATGACAGGTTGTTTGTTGTCTCTTGCTGATTTCTCGACATTGTCAAATCATTTGGTAAATGGAACAATTGTTGTCTGATATCACCTTTTACCAAGAGAATGAATCTTTAACGATGTTTTCCCAAATTATTTTTGTATGCTTGAAGTGAATAGTAACATACTCACTCTCAATTTCATGGACTGCTTCTGTAAAGTAAATTGAAACTCTGTGAGACGATCACTTCGAACACTAGTACATCAACAATCATACCATTTCTTTTACCCTCTTGAGACTTATGTATTATGGTTAATCCCAAACAGTTGAATCTATTTCATGTTGATGCCATTTATGTATTTTATCAATCATTAAACGTTATCTCATTTTGGTTATGGGTATAATAATACTAATAAGCCAATCTCTACATTCCAAACAGTTCCTTGTTTTCACACAATTTGAATTGGTGAAACTCAACATTTTAAATAATAACTATCATATATATGTAATACTACCTTTCTTGATACACGATATGCACGACGTGTTTAAATCATTGCTATTAGTATTTATTTCACCGGTATGTTCATATTACTAACCTTTGCCAATATCTTTAAGAGTGTTCCTCAGTGAATCCAGGAAGCCTCTGCGCTCACTGAAATTGAGAACAGAAAGTTTCTTTTATAACTGTTGGTTTGTGAATGAAAAGGACTTCCTAATGGAAAATGATAATGATAGCATGATGAACAGCAAGCATGATTCTATTCCCTTTTTTGTGAGAAATAAGGGCGATTTTAATTTTAGTCGATTTCTAAACAAATATGTGGGGATTTGGAACTTATCCGTTACTGGAATCCCGAAACAAGAATCGGTCTTCCTGGCTAAGAGAGTGATAGCTGTTTTATTACTCAGAGTTACTCATAATTAAAAATCACTTGAAAGCAAAAACATATGATATCAAACTAATGTTTTGTATATCAGGACATTACTTACACATCACGTTTTCCAACACCAGCGAGAAGAGTAGGAAGGGCGCTCTGGATGATTGTTGGTGCAAGATCTGGAGAGGACTCGAATATTAAGATTCCAAACAAAATTAATATGATTCTAGTAAAAAAGTTTTTCCTTTTCATGTAGAATTGGAAACCACCATGTTTCCATTATTTGTCAGCATATACTTCAGGTGCCATGACAGGTTGTTTGTTGTCTCTTGCTGATTTCTCGACATTGTCAAATCATTTGGTAAATGGAACAATTGTTGTCTGATATCACCTTTTACCAAGAGAATGAATCTTTAACGATGTTTTCCCAAATTATTTTTGTATGCTTGAAGTGAATAGTAACATACTCACTCTCAATTTCATGGACTGCTTCTGTAAAGTAAATTGAAACTCTGTGAGACGATCACTTCGAACACTAGTACATCAACAATCATACCATTTCTTTTACCCTCTTGAGACTTATGTATTATGGTTAATCCCAAACAGTTGAATCTATTTCATGTTGATGCCATTTATGTATTTTATCAATCATTAAACGTTATCTCATTTTGGTTATGGGTATAATAATACTAATAAGCCAATCTCTACATTCCAAACAGTTCCTTGTTTTCACACAATTTGAATTGGTGAAACTCAACATTTTAAATAATAACTATCATATATATGTAATACTACCTTTCTTGATACACGATATGCACGACGTGTTTAAATCATTGCTATTAGTATTTATTTCACCGGTATGTTCATATTACTAACCTTTGCCAATATCTTTAAGAGTGTTCCTCAGTGAATCCAGGAAGCCTCTGCGCTCACTGAAATTGAGAACAGAAAGTTTCTATTATAACTGTTGGTTTGTGAATGAAAAGGACTTCCTAATGGAAAATGATAATGATAGCATGATGAACAGCAAGCATGATTCTATTCCCTTTTTTGTGAGAAATAAGGGCGATTTTAATTTTAGTCGATTTCTAAACAAATATGTGGGGATTTGGAACTTATCCGTTACTGGAATCCCGAAACAAGAATCGGTCTTCCTGGCTAAGATAGTGATAGCTGTTTTATTACTCAGAGTTACTCATAATTAAAAATCACTTGAAAGCAAAAACATATGATATCAAACTAATGTTTTGTATATCAGGACATTACTTACACATCACGTTTTCCAACACCAGCGAGAAGAGTAGGAAGGGCGCTCTGGATGATTGTTGGTGCAAGATCTGGAGAGGACTCGAATATTAAGATTCCAAACAAAATTAATATGATTCTAGTAAAAATGTTTTTCCTTTTCATGTAGAATTGGAAACCACCATGTTTCCATTATTTGTCAGCATATACTTCAGGTGCCATGACAGGTTGTTTGTTGTCTCTTGCTGATTTCTCGACATTGTCAAATCATTTGGTAAATGGAACAATTGTTGTCTGATATCACCTTTTACCAAGAGAATGAATCTTTAACGATGTTTTCCCAAATTATTTTTGTATGCTTGAAGTGAATAGTAACATACTCACTCTCAATTTCATGGACTGCTTCTGTAAAGTAAATTGAAACTCTGTGAGACGATCACTTCGAACACTAGTACATCAACAATCATACCATTTCTTTTACCCTCTTGAGACTTATGTATTATGGTTAATCCCAAACAGTTGAATCTATTTCATGTTGATGCCATTTATGTATTTTATCAATCATTAAACGTTATCTCATTTTGGTTATGGGTATAATAATACTAATAAGCCAATCTCTACATTCCAAACAGTTCCTTGTTTTCACACAATTTGAATTGGTGAAACTCAACATTTTAAATAATAACTATCATATATATGTAATACTACCTTTCTTGATACACGATATGCACGACGTGTTTAAATCATTGCTATTAGTATTTATTTCACCGGTATGTTCATATTACTAACCTTTGCCAATATCTTTAAGAGTGTTCCTCAGTGAATCCAGGAAGCCTCTGCGCTCACTGAAATTGAGAACAGAAAGTTTCTTTTATAACTGTTGGTTTGTGAATGAAAAGGACTTCCTAATGGAAAATGATAATGATAGCATGATGAACAGCAAGCATGATTCTATTCCCTTTTTTGTGAGAAATAAGGGCGATTTTAATTTTAGTCGATTTCTAAACAAATATGTGGGGATTTGGAACTTATCCGTTACTGGAATCCCGAAACAAGAATCGGTCTTCCTGGCTAAGATAGTGATAGCTGTTTTATTACTCAGAGTTACTCATAATTAAAAATCACTTGAAAGCAAAAACATATGATATCAAACTAATGTTTTGTATATCAGGACATTACTTACACATCACGTTTTCCAACACCAGCGAGAAGAGTAGGAAGGGCGCTCTGGATGATTGTTGGTGCAAGATCTGGAGAGGACTCGAATATTAAGATTCCAAACAAAATTAATATGATTCTAGTAAAAATGTTTTTCCTTTTCATGTAGAATTGGAAACCACCATGTTTCCATTATTTGTCAGCATATACTTCAGGTGCCATGACAGGTTGTTTGTTGTCTCTTGCTGATTTCTCGACATTGTCAAATCATTTGGTAAATGGAACAATTGTTGTCTGATATCACCTTTTACCAAGAGAATGAATCTTTAACGATGTTTTCCCAAATTATTTTTGTATGCTTGAAGTGAATAGTAACATACTCACTCTCAATTTCATGGACTGCTTCTGTAAAGTAAATTGAAACTCTGTGAGACGATCACTTCGAACACTAGTACATCAACAATCATACCATTTCTTTTACCCTCTTGAGACTTATGTATTATGGTTAATCCCAAACAGTTGAATCTATTTCATGTTGATGCCATTTATGTATTTTATCAATCATTAAACGTTATCTCATTTTGGTTATGGGTATAATAATACTAATAAGCCAATCTCTACATTCCAAACAGTTCCTTGTTTTCACACAATTTGAATTGGTGAAACTCAACATTTTAAATAATAACTATCATATATATGTAATACTACCTTTCTTGATACACGATATGCACGACGTGTTTAAATCATTGCTATTAGTATTTATTTCACCGGTATGTTCATATTACTAACCTTTGCCAATATCTTTAAGAGTGTTCCTCAGTGAATCCAGGAAGCCTCTGCGCTCACTGAAATTGAGAACAGAAAGTTTCTTTTATAACTGTTGGTTTGTGAATGAAAAGGACTTCCTAATGGAAAATGATAATGATAGCATGATGAACAGCAAGCATGATTCTATTCCCTTTTTTGTGAGAAATAAGGGCGATTTTAATTTTAGTCGATTTCTAAACAAATATGTGGGGATTTGGAACTTATCCGTTACTGGAATCCCGAAACAAGAATCGGTCTTCCTGGCTAAGAGAGTGATAGCTGTTTTATTACTCAGAGTTACTCATAATTAAAAATCACTTGAAAGCAAAAACATATGATATCAAACTAATGTTTTGTATATCAGGACATTACTTACACATCACGTTTTCCAACACCAGCGAGAAGAGTAGGAAGGGCGCTCTGGATGATTGTTGGTGCAAGATCTGGAGAGGACTCGAATATTAAGATTCCAAACAAAATTAATATGATTCTAGTAAAAATGTTTTTCCTTTTCATGTAGAATTGGAAACCACCATGTTTCCATTATTTGTCAGCATATACTTCAGGTGCCATGACAGGTTGTTTGTTGTCTCTTGCTGATTTCTCGACATTGTCAAATCATTTGGTAAATGGAACAATTGTTGTCTGATATCACCTTTTACCAAGAGAATGAATCTTTAACGATGTTTTCCCAAATTATTTTTGTATGCTTGAAGTGAATAGTAACATACTCACTCTCAATTTCATGGACTGCTTCTGTAAAGTAAATTGAAACTCTGTGAGACGATCACTTCGAACACTAGTACATCAACAATCATACCATTTCTTTTACCCTCTTGAGACTTATGTATTATGGTTAATCCCAAACAGTTGAATCTATTTCATGTTGATGCCATTTATGTATTTTATCAATCATTAAACGTTATCTCATTTTGGTTATGGGTATAATAATACTAATAAGCCAATCTCTACATTCCAAACAGTTCCTTGTTTTCACACAATTTGAATTGGTGAAACTCAACATTTTAAATAATAACTATCATATATATGTAATACTACCTTTCTTGATACACGATATGCACGACGTGTTTAAATCATTGCTATTAGTATTTATTTCACCGGTATGTTCATATTACTAACCTTTGCCAATATCTTTAAGAGTGTTCCTCAGTGAATCCAGGAAGCCTCTGCGCTCACTGAAATTGAGAACAGAAAGTTTCTTTTATAACTGTTGGTTTGTGAATGAAAAGGACTTCCTAATGGAAAATGATAATGATAGCATGATGAACAGCAAGCATGATTCTATTCCCTTTTTTGTGAGAAATAAGGGCGATTTTAATTTTAGTCGATTTCTAAACAAATATGTGGGGATTTGGAACTTATCCGTTACTGGAATCCCGAAACAAGAATCGGTCTTCCTGGCTAAGATAGTGATAGCTGTTTTATTACTCAGAGTTACTCATAATTAAAAATCACTTGAAAGCAAAAACATATGATATCAAACTAATGTTTTGTATATCAGGACATTACTTACACATCACGTTTTCCAACACCAGCGAGAAGAGTAGGAAGGGCGCTCTGGATGATTGTTGGTGCAAGATCTGGAGAGGACTCGAATATTAAGATTCCAAACAAAATTAATATGATTCTAGTAAAAATGTTTTTCCTTTTCATGTAGAATTGGAAACCACCATGTTTCCATTATTTGTCAGCATATACTTCAGGTGCCATGACAGGTTGTTTGTTGTCTCTTGCTGATTTCTCGACATTGTCAAATCATTTGGTAAATGGAACAATTGTTGTCTGATATCACCTTTTACCAAGAGAATGAATCTTTAACGATGTTTTCCCAAATTATTTTTGTATGCTTGAAGTGAATAGTAACATACTCACTCTCAATTTCATGGACTGCTTCTGTAAAGTAAATTGAAACTCTGTGAGACGATCACTTCGAACACTAGTACATCAACAATCATACCATTTCTTTTACCCTCTTGAGACTTATGTATTATGGTTAATCCCAAACAGTTGAATCTATTTCATGTTGATGCCATTTATGTATTTTATCAATCATTAAACGTTATCTCATTTTGGTTATGGGTATAATAATACTAATAAGCCAATCTCTACATTCCAAACAGTTCCTTGTTTTCACACAATTTGAATTGGTGAAACTCAACATTTTAAATAATAACTATCATATATATGTAATACTACCTTTCTTGATACACGATATGCACGACGTGTTTAAATCATTGCTATTAGTATTTATTTCACCGGTATGTTCATATTACTAACCTTTGCCAATATCTTTAAGAGTGTTCCTCAGTGAATCCAGGAAGCCTCTGCGCTCACTGAAATTGAGAACAGAAAGTTTCTTTTATAACTGTTGGTTTGTGAATGAAAAGGACTTCCTAATGGAAAATGATAATGATAGCATGATGAACAGCAAGCATGATTCTATTCCCTTTTTTGTGAGAAATAAGGGCGATTTTAATTTTAGTCGATTTCTAAACAAATATGTGGGGATTTGGAACTTATCCGTTACTGGAATCCCGAAACAAGAATCGGTCTTCCTGGCTAAGAGAGTGATAGCTGTTTTATTACTCAGAGTTACTCATAATTAAAAATCACTTGAAAGCAAAAACATATGATATCAAACTAATGTTTTGTATATCAGGACATTACTTACACATCACGTTTTCCAACACCAGCGAGAAGAGTAGGAAGGGCGCTCTGGATGATTGTTGGTGCAAGATCTGGAGAGGACTCGAATATTAAGATTCCAAACACAATTAATATGATTCTAGTAAAAATGTTTTTCCTTTTCATGTAGAATTGGAAACCACCATGTTTCCATTATTTGTCAGCATATACTTCAGGTGCCATGACAGGTTGTTTGTTGTCTCTTGCTGATTTCTCGACATTGTCAAATCATTTGGTAAATGGAACAATTGTTGTCTGATATCACCTTTTACCAAGAGAATGAATCTTTAACGATGTTTTCCCAAATTATTTTTGTATGCTTGAAGTGAATAGTAACATACTCACTCTCAATTTCATGGACTGCTTCTGTAAAGTAAATTGAAACTCTGTGAGACGATCACTTCGAACACTAGTACATCAACAATCATACCATTTCTTTTACCCTCTTGAGACTTATGTATTATGGTTAATCCCAAACAGTTGAATCTATTTCATGTTGATGCCATTTATGTATTTTATCAATCATTAAACGTTATCTCATTTTGGTTATGGGTATAATAATACTAATAAGCCAATCTCTACATTCCAAACAGTTCCTTGTTTTCACACAATTTGAATTGGTGAAACTCAACATTTTAAATAATAACTATCATATATATGTAATACTACCTTTCTTGATACACGATATGCACGACGTGTTTAAATCATTGCTATTAGTATTTATTTCACCGGTATGTTCATATTACTAACCTTTGCCAATATCTTTAAGAGTGTTCCTCAGTGAATCCAGGAAGCCTCTGCGCTCACTGAAATTGAGAACAGAAAGTTTCTTTTATAACTGTTGGTTTGTGAATGAAAAGGACTTCCTAATGGAAAATGATAATGATAGCATGATGAACAGCAAGCATGATTCTATTCCCTTTTTTGTGAGAAATAAGGGCGATTTTAATTTTAGTCGATTTCTAAACAAATATGTGGGGATTTGGAACTTATCCGTTACTGGAATCCCGAAACAAGAATCGGTCTTCCTGGCTAAGATAGTGATAGCTGTTTTATTACTCAGAGTTACTCATAATTAAAAATCACTTGAAAGCAAAAACATATGATATCAAACTAATGTTTTGTATATCAGGACATTACTTACACATCACGTTTTCCAACACCAGCGAGAAGAGTAGGAAGGGCGCTCTGGATGATTGTTGGTGCAAGATCTGGAGAGGACTCGAATATTAAGATTCCAAACAAAATTAATATGATTCTAGTAAAAATGTTTTTCCTTTTCATGTAGAATTGGAAACCACCATGTTTCCATTATTTGTCAGCATATACTTCAGGTGCCATGACAGGTTGTTTGTTGTCTCTTGCTGATTTCTCGACATTGTCAAATCATTTGGTAAATGGAACAATTGTTGTCTGATATCACCTTTTACCAAGAGAATGAATCTTTAACGATGTTTTCCCAAATTATTTTTGTATGCTTGAAGTGAATAGTAACATACTCACTCTCAATTTCATGGACTGCTTCTGTAAAGTAAATTGAAACTCTGTGAGACGATCACTTCGAACACTAGTACATCAACAATCATACCATTTCTTTTACCCTCTTGAGACTTATGTATTATGGTTAATCCCAAACAGTTGAATCTATTTCATGTTGATGCCATTTATGTATTTTATCAATCATTAAACGTTATCTCATTTTGGTTATGGGTATAATAATACTAATAAGCCAATCTCTACATTCCAAACAGTTCCTTGTTTTCACACAATTTGAATTGGTGAAACTCAACATTTTAAATAATAACTATCATATATATGTAATACTACCTTTCTTGATACACGATATGCACGACGTGTTTAAATCATTGCTATTAGTATTTATTTCACCGGTATGTTCATATTACTAACCTTTGCCAATATCTTTAAGAGTGTTCCTCAGTGAATCCAGGAAGCCTCTGCGCTCACTGAAATTGAGAACAGAAAGTTTCTTTTATAACTGTTGGTTTGTGAATGAAAAGGACTTCCTAATGGAAAATGATAATGATAGCATGATGAACAGCAAGCATGATTCTATTCCCTTTTTTGTGAGAAATAAGGGCGATTTTAATTTTAGTCGATTTCTAAACAAATATGTGGGGATTTGGAACTTATCCGTTACTGGAATCCCGAAACAAGAATCGGTCTTCCTGGCTAAGAGAGTGATAGCTGTTTTATTACTCAGAGTTACTCATAATTAAAAATCACTTGAAAGCAAAAACATATGATATCAAACTAATGTTTTGTATATCAGGACATTACTTACACATCACGTTTTCCAACACCAGCGAGAAGAGTAGGAAGGGCGCTCTGGATGATTGTTGGTGCAAGATCTGGAGAGGACTCGAATATTAAGATTCCAAACACAATTAATATGATTCTAGTAAAAATGTTTTTCCTTTTCATGTAGAATTGGAAACCACCATGTTTCCATTATTTGTCAGCATATACTTCAGGTGCCATGACAGGTTGTTTGTTGTCTCTTGCTGATTTCTCGACATTGTCAAATCATTTGGTAAATGGAACAATTGTTGTCTGATATCACCTTTTACCAAGAGAATGAATCTTTAACGATGTTTTCCCAAATTATTTTTGTATGCTTGAAGTGAATAGTAACATACTCACTCTCAATTTCATGGACTGCTTCTGTAAAGTAAATTGAAACTCTGTGAGACGATCACTTCGAACACTAGTACATCAACAATCATACCATTTCTTTTACCCTCTTGAGACTTATGTATTATGGTTAATCCCAAACAGTTGAATCTATTTCATGTTGATGCCATTTATGTATTTTATCAATCATTAAACGTTATCTCATTTTGGTTATGGGTATAATAATACTAATAAGCCAATCTCTACATTCCAAACAGTTCCTTGTTTTCACACAATTTGAATTGGTGAAACTCAACATTTTAAATAATAACTATCATATATATGTAATACTACCTTTCTTGATACACGATATGCACGACGTGTTTAAATCATTGCTATTAGTATTTATTTCACCGGTATGTTCATATTACTAACCTTTGCCAATATCTTTAAGAGTGTTCCTCAGTGAATCCAGGAAGCCTCTGCGCTCACTGAAATTGAGAACAGAAAGTTTCTTTTATAACTGTTGGTTTGTGAATGAAAAGGACTTCCTAATGGAAAATGATAATGATAGCATGATGAACAGCAAGCATGATTCTATTCCCTTTTTTGTGAGAAATAAGGGCGATTTTAATTTTAGTCGATTTCTAAACAAATATGTGGGGATTTGGAACTTATCCGTTACTGGAATCCCGAAACAAGAATCGGTCTTCCTGGCTAAGATAGTGATAGCTGTTTTATTACTCAGAGTTACTCATAATTAAAAATCACTTGAAAGCAAAAACATATGATATCAAACTAATGTTTTGTATATCAGGACATTACTTACACATCACGTTTTCCAACACCAGCGAGAAGAGTAGGAAGGGCGCTCTGGATGATTGTTGGTGCAAGATCTGGAGAGGACTCGAATATTAAGATTCCAAACAAAATTAATATGATTCTAGTAAAAATGTTTTTCCTTTTCATGTAGAATTGGAAACCACCATGTTTCCATTATTTGTCAGCATATACTTCAGGTGCCATGACAGGTTGTTTGTTGTCTCTTGCTGATTTCTCGACATTGTCAAATCATTTGGTAAATGGAACAATTGTTGTCTGATATCACCTTTTACCAAGAGAATGAATCTTTAACGATGTTTTCCCAAATTATTTTTGTATGCTTGAAGTGAATAGTAACATACTCACTCTCAATTTCATGGACTGCTTCTGTAAAGTAAATTGAAACTCTGTGAGACGATCACTTCGAACACTAGTACATCAACAATCATACCATTTCTTTTACCCTCTTGAGACTTATGTATTATGGTTAATCCCAAACAGTTGAATCTATTTCATGTTGATGCCATTTATGTATTTTATCAATCATTAAACGTTATCTCATTTTGGTTATGGGTATAATAATACTAATAAGCCAATCTCTACATTCCAAACAGTTCCTTGTTTTCACACAATTTGAATTGGTGAAACTCAACATTTTAAATAATAACTATCATATATATGTAATACTACCTTTCTTGATACACGATATGCACGACGTGTTTAAATCATTGCTATTAGTATTTATTTCACCGGTATGTTCATATTACTAACCTTTGCCAATATCTTTAAGAGTGTTCCTCAGTGAATCCAGGAAGCCTCTGCGCTCACTGAAATTGAGAACAGAAAGTTTCTTTTATAACTGTTGGTTTGTGAATGAAAAGGACTTCCTAATGGAAAATGATAATGATAGCATGATGAACAGCAAGCATGATTCTATTCCCTTTTTTGTGAGAAATAAGGGCGATTTTAATTTTAGTCGATTTCTAAACAAATATGTGGGGATTTGGAACTTATCCGTTACTGGAATCCCGAAACAAGAATCGGTCTTCCTGGCTAAGAGAGTGATAGCTGTTTTATTACTCAGAGTTACTCATAATTAAAAATCACTTGAAAGCAAAAACATATGATATCAAACTAATGTTTTGTATATCAGGACATTACTTACACATCACGTTTTCCAACACCAGCGAGAAGAGTAGGAAGGGCGCTCTGGATGATTGTTGGTGCAAGATCTGGAGAGGACTCGAATATTAAGATTCCAAACAAAATTAATATGATTCTAGTAAAAATGTTTTTCCTTTTCATGTAGAATTGGAAACCACCATGTTTCCATTATTTGTCAGCATATACTTCAGGTGCCATGACAGGTTGTTTGTTGTCTCTTGCTGATTTCTCGACATTGTCAAATCATTTGATAAATGGAACAATTGTTGTCTGATATCACCTTTTACCAAGAGAATGAATCTTTAACGATGTTTTCCCAAATTATTTTTGTATGCTTGAAGTGAATAGTAACATACTCACTCTCAATTTCATGGACTGCTTCTGTAAAGTAAATTGAAACTCTGTGAGACGATCACTTCGAACACTAGTACATCAACAATCATACCATTTCTTTTACCCTCTTGAGACTTATGTATTATGGTTAATCCCAAACAGTTGAATCTATTTCATGTTGATGCCATTTATGTATTTTATCAATCATTAAACGTTATCTCATTTTGGTTATGGGTATAATAATACTAATAAGCCAATCTCTACATTCCAAACAGTTCCTTGTTTTCACACAATTTGAATTGGTGAAACTCAACATTTTAAATAATAACTATCATATATATGTAATACTACCTTTCTTGATACACGATATGCACGACGTGTTTAAATCATTGCTATTAGTATTTATTTCACCGGTATGTTCATATTACTAACCTTTGCCAATATCTTTAAGAGTGTTCCTCAGTGAATCCAGGAAGCCTCTGCGCTCACTGAAATTGAGAACAGAAAGTTTCTTTTATAACTGTTGGTTTGTGAATGAAAAGGACTTCCTAATGGAAAATGATAATGATAGCATGATGAACAGCAAGCATGATTCTATTCCCTTTTTTGTGAGAAATAAGGGCGATTTTAATTTTAGTCGATTTCTAAACAAATATGTGGGGATTTGGAACTTATCCGTTACTGGAATCCCGAAACAAGAATCGGTCTTCCTGGCTAAGATAGTGATAGCTGTTTTATTACTCAGAGTTACTCATAATTAAAAATCACTTGAAAGCAAAAACATATGATATCAAACTAATGTTTTGTATATCAGGACATTACTTACACATCACGTTTTCCAACACCAGCGAGAAGAGTAGGAAGGGCGCTCTGGATGATTGTTGGTGCAAGATCTGGAGAGGACTCGAATATTAAGATTCCAAACAAAATTAATATGATTCTAGTAAAAATGTTTTTCCTTTTCATGTAGAATTGGAAACCACCATGTTTCCATTATTTGTCAGCATATACTTCAGGTGCCATGACAGGTTGTTTGTTGTCTCTTGCTGATTTCTCGACATTGTCAAATCATTTGGTAAATGGAACAATTGTTGTCTGATATCACCTTTTACCAAGAGAATGAATCTTTAACGATGTTTTCCCAAATTATTTTTGTATGCTTGAAGTGAATAGTAACATACTCACTCTCAATTTCATGGACTGCTTCTGTAAAGTAAATTGAAACTCTGTGAGACGATCACTTCGAACACTAGTACATCAACAATCATACCATTTCTTTTACCCTCTTCAGACTTATGTATTATGGTTAATCCCAAACAGTTGAATCTATTTCATGTTGATGCCATTTATGTATTTTATCAATCATTAAACGTTATCTCATTTTGGTTATGGGTATAATAATACTAATAAGCCAATCTCTACATTCCAAACAGTTCCTTGTTTTCACACAATTTGAATTGGTGAAACTCAACATTTTAAATAATAACTATCATATATATGTAATACTACCTTTCTTGATACACGATATGCACGACGTGTTTAAATCATTGCTATTAGTATTTATTTCACCGGTATGTTCATATTACTAACCTTTGCCAATATCTTTAAGAGTGTTCCTCAGTGAATCCAGGAAGCCTCTGCGCTCACTGAAATTGAGAACAGAAAGTTTCTTTTATAACTGTTGGTTTGTGAATGAAAAGGACTTCCTAATGGAAAATGATAATGATAGCATGATGAACAGCAAGCATGATTCTATTCCCTTTTTTGTGAGAAATAAGGGCGATTTTAATTTTAGTCGATTTCTAAACAAATATGTGGGGATTTGGAACTTATCCGTTACTGGAATCCCGAAACAAGAATCGGTCTTCCTGGCTAAGATAGTGATAGCTGTTTTATTACTCAGAGTTACTCATAATTAAAAATCACTTGAAAGCAAAAACATATGATATCAAACTAATGTTTTGTATATCAGGACATTACTTACACATCACGTTTTCCAACACCAGCGAGAAGAGTAGGAAGGGCGCTCTGGATGATTGTTGGTGCAAGATCTGGAGAGGACTCGAATATTAAGATTCCAAACAAAATTAATATGATTCTAGTAAAAATGTTTTTCCTTTTCATGTAGAATTGGAAACCACCATGTTTCCATTATTTGTCAGCATATACTTCAGGTGCCATGACAGGTTGTTTGTTGTCTCTTGCTGATTTCTCGACATTGTCAAATCATTTGGTAAATGGAACAATTGTTGTCTGATATCACCTTTTACCAAGAGAATGAATCTTTAACGATGTTTTCCCAAATTATTTTTGTATGCTTGAAGTGAATAGTAACATACTCACTCTCAATTTCATGGACTGCTTCTGTAAAGTAAATTGAAACTCTGTGAGACGATCACTTCGAACACTAGTACATCAACAATCATACCATTTCTTTTACCCTCTTGAGACTTATGTATTATGGTTAATCCCAAACAGTTGAATCTATTTCATGTTGATGCCATTTATGTATTTTATCAATCATTAAACGTTATCTCATTTTGGTTATGGGTATAATAATACTAATAAGCCAATCTCTACATTCCAAACAGTTCCTTGTTTTCACACAATTTGAATTGGTGAAACTCAACATTTTAAATAATAACTATCATATATATGTAATACTACCTTTCTTGATACACGATATGCACGACGTGTTTAAATCATTGCTATTAGTATTTATTTCACCGGTATGTTCATATTACTAACCTTTGCCAATATCTTTAAGAGTGTTCCTCAGTGAATCCAGGAAGCCTCTGCGCTCACTGAAATTGAGAACAGAAAGTTTCTTTTATAACTGTTGGTTTGTGAATGAAAAGGACTTCCTAATGGAAAATGATAATGATAGCATGATGAACAGCAAGCATGATTCTATTCCCTTTTTTGTGAGAAATAAGGGCGATTTTAATTTTAGTCGATTTCTAAACAAATATGTGGGGATTTGGAACTTATCCGTTACTGGAATCCCGAAACAAGAATCGGTCTTCCTGGCTAAGATAGTGATAGCTGTTTTATTACTCAGAGTTACTCATAATTAAAAATCACTTGAAAGCAAAAACATATGATATCAAACTAATGTTTTGTATATCAGGACATTACTTACACATCACGTTTTCCAACACCAGCGAGAAGAGTAGGAAGGGCGCTCTGGATGATTGTTGGTGCAAGATCTGGAGAGGACTCGAATATTAAGATTCCAAACAAAATTAATATGATTCTAGTAAAAATGTTTTTCCTTTTCATGTAGAATTGGAAACCACCATGTTTCCATTATTTGTCAGCATATACTTCAGGTGCCATGACAGGTTGTTTGTTGTCTCTTGCTGATTTCTCGACATTGTCAAATCATTTGGTAAATGGAACAATTGTTGTCTGATATCACCTTTTACCAAGAGAATGAATCTTTAACGATGTTTTCCCAAATTATTTTTGTATGCTTGAAGTGAATAGTAACATACTCACTCTCAATTTCATGGACTGCTTCTGTAAAGTAAATTGAAACTCTGTGAGACGATCACTTCGAACACTAGTACATCAACAATCATACCATTTCTTTTACCCTCTTGAGACTTATGTATTATGGTTAATCCCAAACAGTTGAATCTATTTCATGTTGATGCCATTTATGTATTTTATCAATCATTAAACGTTATCTCATTTTGGTTATGGGTATAATAATACTAATAAGCCAATCTCTACATTCCAAACAGTTCCTTGTTTTCACACAATTTGAATTGGTGAAACTCAACATTTTAAATAATAACTATCATATATATGTAATACTACCTTTCTTGATACACGATATGCACGACGTGTTTAAATCATTGCTATTAGTATTTATTTCACCGGTATGTTCATATTACTAACCTTTGCCAATATCTTTAAGAGTGTTCCTCAGTGAATCCAGGAAGCCTCTGCGCTCACTGAAATTGAGAACAGAAAGTTTCTTTTATAACTGTTGGTTTGTGAATGAAAAGGACTTCCTAATGGAAAATGATAATGATAGCATGATGAACAGCAAGCATGATTCTATTCCCTTTTTTGTGAGAAATAAGGGCGATTTTAATTTTAGTCGATTTCTAAACAAATATGTGGGGATTTGGAACTTATCCGTTACTGGAATCCCGAAACAAGAATCGGTCTTCCTGGCTAAGAGAGTGATAGCTGTTTTATTACTCAGAGTTACTCATAATTAAAAATCACTTGAAAGCAAAAACATATGATATCAAACTAATGTTTTGTATATCAGGACATTACTTACACATCACGTTTTCCAACACCAGCGAGAAGAGTAGGAAGGGCGCTCTGGATGATTGTTGGTGCAAGATCTGGAGAGGACTCGAATATTAAGATTCCAAACAAAATTAATATGATTCTAGTAAAAATGTTTTTCCTTTTCATGTAGAATTGGAAACCACCATGTTTCCATTATTTGTCAGCATATACTTCAGGTGCCATGACAGGTTGTTTGTTGTCTCTTGCTGATTTCTCGACATTGTCAAATCATTTGGTAAATGGAACAATTGTTGTCTGATATCACCTTTTACCAAGAGAATGAATCTTTAACGATGTTTTCCCAAATTATTTTTGTATGCTTGAAGTGAATAGTAACATACTCACTCTCAATTTCATGGACTGCTTCTGTAAAGTAAATTGAAACTCTGTGAGACGATCACTTCGAACACTAGTACATCAACAATCATACCATTTCTTTTACCCTCTTCAGACTTATGTATTATGGTTAATCCCAAACAGTTGAATCTATTTCATGTTGATGCCATTTATGTATTTTATCAATCATTAAACGTTATCTCATTTTGGTTATGGGTATAATAATACTAATAAGCCAATCTCTACATTCCAAACAGTTCCTTGTTTTCACACAATTTGAATTGGTGAAACTCAACATTTTAAATAATAACTATCATATATATGTAATACTACCTTTCTTGATACACGATATGCACGACGTGTTTAAATCATTGCTATTAGTATTTATTTCACCGGTATGTTCATATTACTAACCTTTGCCAATATCTTTAAGAGTGTTCCTCAGTGAATCCAGGAAGCCTCTGCGCTCACTGAAATTGAGAACAGAAAGTTTCTTTTATAACTGTTGGTTTGTGAATGAAAAGGACTTCCTAATGGAAAATGATAATGATAGCATGATGAACAGCAAGCATGATTCTATTCCCTTTTTTGTGAGAAATAAGGGCGATTTTAATTTTAGTCGATTTCTAAACAAATATGTGGGGATTTGGAACTTATCCGTTACTGGAATCCCGAAACAAGAATCGGTCTTCCTGGCTAAGATAGTGATAGCTGTTTTATTACTCAGAGTTACTCATAATTAAAAATCACTTGAAAGCAAAAACATATGATATCAAACTAATGTTTTGTATATCAGGACATTACTTACACATCACGTTTTCCAACACCAGCGAGAAGAGTAGGAAGGGCGCTCTGGATGATTGTTGGTGCAAGATCTGGAGAGGACTCGAATATTAAGATTCCAAACAAAATTAATATGATTCTAGTAAAAATGTTTTTCCTTTTCATGTAGAATTGGAAACCACCATGTTTCCATTATTTGTCAGCATATACTTCAGGTGCCATGACAGGTTGTTTGTTGTCTCTTGCTGATTTCTCGACATTGTCAAATCATTTGGTAAATGGAACAATTGTTGTCTGATATCACCTTTTACCAAGAGAATGAATCTTTAACGATGTTTTCCCAAATTATTTTTGTATGCTTGAAGTGAATAGTAACATACTCACTCTCAATTTCATGGACTGCTTCTGTAAAGTAAATTGAAACTCTGTGAGACGATCACTTCGAACACTAGTACATCAACAATCATACCATTTCTTTTACCCTCTTGAGACTTATGTATTATGGTTAATCCCAAACAGTTGAATCTATTTCATGTTGATGCCATTTATGTATTTTATCAATCATTAAACGTTATCTCATTTTGGTTATGGGTATAATAATACTAATAAGCCAATCTCTACATTCCAAACAGTTCCTTGTTTTCACACAATTTGAATTGGTGAAACTCAACATTTTAAATAATAACTATCATATATATGTAATACTACCTTTCTTGATACACGATATGCACGACGTGTTTAAATCATTGCTATTAGTATTTATTTCACCGGTATGTTCATATTACTAACCTTTGCCAATATCTTTAAGAGTGTTCCTCAGTGAATCCAGGAAGCCTCTGCGCTCACTGAAATTGAGAACAGAAAGTTTCTTTTATAACTGTTGGTTTGTGAATGAAAAGGACTTCCTAATGGAAAATGATAATGATAGCATGATGAACAGCAAGCATGATTCTATTCCCTTTTTTGTGAGAAATAAGGGCGATTTTAATTTTAGTCGATTTCTAAACAAATATGTGGGGATTTGGAACTTATCCGTTACTGGAATCCCGAAACAAGAATCGGTCTTCCTGGCTAAGATAGTGATAGCTGTTTTATTACTCAGAGTTACTCATAATTAAAAATCACTTGAAAGCAAAAACATATGATATCAAACTAATGTTTTGTATATCAGGACATTACTTACACATCACGTTTTCCAACACCAGCGAGAAGAGTAGGAAGGGCGCTCTGGATGATTGTTGGTGCAAGATCTGGAGAGGACTCGAATATTAAGATTCCAAACAAAATTAATATGATTCTAGTAAAAATGTTTTTCCTTTTCATGTAGAATTGGAAACCACCATGTTTCCATTATTTGTCAGCATATACTTCAGGTGCCATGACAGGTTGTTTGTTGTCTCTTGCTGATTTCTCGACATTGTCAAATCATTTGGTAAATGGAACAATTGTTGTCTGATATCACCTTTTACCAAGAGAATGAATCTTTAACGATGTTTTCCCAAATTATTTTTGTATGCTTGAAGTGAATAGTAACATACTCACTCTCAATTTCATGGACTGCTTCTGTAAAGTAAATTGAAACTCTGTGAGACGATCACTTCGAACACTAGTACATCAACAATCATACCATTTCTTTTACCCTCTTGAGACTTATGTATTATGGTTAATCCCAAACAGTTGAATCTATTTCATGTTGATGCCATTTATGTATTTTATCAATCATTAAACGTTATCTCATTTTGGTTATGGGTATAATAATACTAATAAGCCAATCTCTACATTCCAAACAGTTCCTTGTTTTCACACAATTTGAATTGGTGAAACTCAACATTTTAAATAATAACTATCATATATATGTAATACTACCTTTCTTGATACACGATATGCACGACGTGTTTAAATCATTGCTATTAGTATTTATTTCACCGGTATGTTCATATTACTAACCTTTGCCAATATCTTTAAGAGTGTTCCTCAGTGAATCCAGGAAGCCTCTGCGCTCACTGAAATTGAGAACAGAAAGTTTCTTTTATAACTGTTGGTTTGTGAATGAAAAGGACTTCCTAATGGAAAATGATAATGATAGCATGATGAACAGCAAGCATGATTCTATTCCCTTTTTTGTGAGAAATAAGGGCGATTTTAATTTTAAATATGAAATCTCAACTTGTCGAGTGAGTGATTGAGTGAGTGAGTATGATTTTTCTATATCTTTTGCAGTACAGTCGGGCATATATTTTTTTATTGAAGTTTTTCAGACAGCGTCAAACGATTTATTTGAAGTTTTAAAATAGCGTTCAAAATAGTTGATGGTAGACAGTGACGCAACACTGACCAAACAGATATCCGTCAGTGTGCAAGGTTTCGTTCAACGTTTCGAGAACGCCTTGGATAGTGATTCACAAACACGTGCTTATGATATATGTCGGAATCTTACAATGGGCAAGTATTTCTTATGGATGTAGTTTGATTGTTTGGTTTGTTTAATGGCCACCGTCGCATGGCAGGATTACTGACGTGCGGCGTCAGGCAATAGATACGGGTGCTAAATGGCGGGTGTTACTGGGAAGGCAAGACATGCTCACCCTAATTGCAAACACCTGGTTTCATCATTGATTTCCATTGTTTCATTCATATCATTTTTATAGCTGTTTTGCCCTTTACTCCAAATGGAATCTGTTACGGGGGATTATGAAGACTGGTTATTCTCTTGCAATGACATTTCATATAATGTTTATAGTGAGGGTTTTGTCGTTGCAAAAGGAATGTTATTTATAGATTCAACTTACATGTCGCGTTTTCCCACAAGAGCAGTTAGCCCGGCACTGATGAGACTTGGAGCAACCTCTGAAAGATGGACCGTTTATTGGGCTTTTACAAACACATGTCAAGTGGACAAACGTGGAAGTCGACGCTGGCGCAGTCGAGGGAGTCTGATGTGTGGGAACAGTCGAAGCAAATACAAATAGATGTGAAATGTTTATTGTCCTGTCTACCAGCCAGATTATTAGCTTCATGATACACTAGATACAGATGTATTCAAGCACGTGAACTGTACAAATAGATCGTTACCTCCAACATGTTATTTGGTTATCGCCAGGAAGAACATGGTTCTGAGTGAGTGTGTGTTAGCGTGTGTGTGTTAGTTTGAGAGTGTCTGTGTGTGAGCGTGTGTGAGTAAGAGCGTGAGTGAGTGAATGTGTGTTAGCTTGTGTGTGTTAGTTTGAGAGAGCGTGTGTATGAGCGTGTGTGTGTGAGAATGTGTGAGTGAATGTGTGTTAGCGTGTGTGTTAGTTTGAGAGTGTGTGTGAGTTATTTTGAGAGTGCGTGTGTGTGAGGGTGTGTGAGTTAGAGAGTGTGTGAGTGAATGTGTGTTAGCTTGTGTGTGTTAGTTTGAGAGAGCGTGTGTGTGAGCGTGTGTGTGTGAGAATGTGTGTGAGTGAGTGTGAGCGTGTGAGTGAGCGTGTGTTAGCGTGTGTGTGTTAGTGTGAGAGTGTGTATGAGTGTGAGCGTGTGTGTGTGTGAGAGTGTGTGAGTGTGAGAGAATGAGGGTGAGTGAATGCGAATGCGTGTGTGTGTGTGAGAGAGAGTGTGTGTGAAAGAATGTGTATGTATGTATGTTTGTGTGTGAGTGTAGACAACTCACTTTCAGCAATTGGTAGCACCTCTGAAAGAAAAGAAATATGTTTGTAAAATGTAGTTTCTTTTAAAACTTTCTAATCCCCGGTAACGCAGGATCTGCTAAGCCTTATGGATTCTGTTTCGGATTATAGACTGATTATTCTCAGGCGTTGGTGCCTTCTATATTTATTGAATGCTAAATAAATCATAACCCATACAGGAATAATCATGCATTTTACACTTGACACAACTTCACTTTAATATTTCGGACAATGTGATGAACAATTATACGTTGAAGGTCCGGGGTAGAATAGGTCTTAATGAGCTCAAGAATAAACTAACGGGGTCGGATGGTCAGGCTCGCTGACTTAGTTGATGCATGACATCGTATCCCAATTGCGTTGATCGATGCTCATGATGTCAATCACTGGATTGTCTGGTCCAGATTCAATTATTTACAGACCGCCGTCATATAGCTTGAATATTGCTGAGTGCGGCGTTAAAAAACAAACAAACAAACGTTGAAGTTTGAATTTTATAATAGAGAACTCCTGTATCATAATGTGAGGTAGAAACTGACCTTTCCCGACTTGTTCGATGACGGGCAGAGCATCTGGACAAAAGATGTTTGCTATTCATGATATGCATATATTTTCATGATCTAATAAACTCTTTTCAACATTTACTAATAGGGTATGCAGTACGTTCTTATGAAATATAAGTGCCTCATGGAGAGCCCATAAACCAACTGGGAATCCTCTTGGGTTCAATCCTGTTTGTTGGAATATCATTCTGAAGAGTCAAATTACATACGATATTTTTTATCCTAGCAATGATATGCACACCATGTATGTTTATGTGAAATGTATTATTGTCTGTAGTTTATATATTTTGTTCTCATGCCACATGGAACACGGATGGCCCTTCGTCTAAAGCGCCGCAATTCGCTGTGAAGCATTGCCTCTATTGGGCACTCTAGAAACCTTTGATCGTGGGTTCGAATCCCGACTCAACCCGATAATTTTTCTCGGTTTGTCAGCACCATACCCGTGGGTTTCACAAGCGTGGTAAACGTCTAACACCTCAAGGCGTAACATAACTGGAATAATGTTCAAAGCGGCGTTAAAACTGCACTCACTACCTCAATCTCTCACTCCCATGCTACATGATCAAGGTGTATTGAAATGGAATGGAGAAAGTTGGTAGTGATGATACCGTAACATATACATGAAGTGTGATCTCTGTGTCCCTGAGTGTAATGTAAAGTATTCATGTGCGATTGTGCAGATCTTGGACGAAACTCATTTGAAGCGTCCATGTCTAACTACGTGACAAGCTAATGGTGAAACTGCATCTTACTTTTGGCAGCAGTAGCTATGGCTTTGCCGGCAGTCTCCAGCCCTTTCTTGATGTCATCAAAGATATTTTTTTTCTCACTGTTGAATGGAACACATTAAAACTTGTTACTTCACACTTCGCTGAACATAACTATTCCTTTAATACAGGCAGTTATTATGTTCATGAATCAAAAGGTTTACCAAGTCAACCAAAACATATACTCACCAAATTGTTGCATTTGGTCCTTTTTGTGCGAATATTTTTTTATTTTTTTAACTTTGTGTATGACGCATTATCATTAAATCTGTGTTTTGAACTTACACATCTCTTCTTCCAAGAGCTGTGACTGCTGTGGTGATCAGAGTCGGGGCCAACTCTGTCAGAACGATAACATACTTATTACCTAGAATATATTGAGTTGTTTGATAGGCATTACTTAGAAGTTGACGGATGAGAAAAGTAGGCACAATTTATGGATAACAGCTAGAGTCTTGCTTCACAACGGTATAAAGATCTATACCGAAACGTACAGTATTAAAGAAGTTGTTATCCATAAATTGTGTCTACTGTGTCTGGAACCTATTATCTAATGTCGTGTATTGCTATCCCCAGTGTGACAGTGGGTTAGGAATCCTCAGTGTGACAGTGGGTTAGGAATCCTCAGTGTCACAGTGGGTTAGGAATCCTCAGTGTCACAGTGGGTCAGGAATCCTCAGTGTCACAGTGGGTTAGGAATCCTCAGTGTCACAGTGGGTTAGGAATCCTCAGTGTCACAGTGGGTTAGGAATCCTCAGTGTCACAGTGGGTTAGGAATCCTCAGTGTCACAGTGGGTTAGGAATCCTCAGGAGTTACCCGAGTGAACCTGGTTTCATTTTAAAGGTCATGAGTTGATTTGCTAACCAAAGATCGGAATATGTTATCATGATCATGATAGGCTTATCCACCAGAAGATGTTATTAATGCGATGTTGTGAAGCTGACATGTGCATAACGCATTAGATGAAGACAGGTGCTATGTAAATGTACTTACTCTCCAAAGTTGGCAGTAGATCTGTAATAAAAGACCAAAGCAACATTATCAATAGATAAGCTGCCAGAATAACATAGGCAAAAGCTGATCGTTAAACCTTTGACCTCCTACAGAGGTAAATATACCTCCCTCGCATCTCAGTGGATAACAGACACTGATTGATCGAGCGTGTATTATCTGTCAAAAAATGCTTTGGCACACGTATGTTATAAATACTCTTAAATATTCTGATTATATACTCACCGCCAAAAGAAACGCGAAACATAGAAACTTATAGAGAAGTATGTACGTTAAAAAGAGAAGTTTCCAATGTGTATCGGTTAATGAGAAGTCTTACCACAGAGTGTATTTATTCTTACCACGTGGTTTCCAAACGTTACACGCTAATCCTGCACGAGAGAAGTGTTGCATCTCTGCTCATGGTTCTATGACGTCACATTTGATGCGTTCATAAGCATTGATTCACACAACATACCAGAATGTTCGTTTGTGCATCGAACCAATCTAGTATCTCTTGAACTTAAGTAAATCTTCATATATTAACCAACATGTATGGTATTCGCATTTATTTTAGCGGTGAGTATATAGTTGAAGTTTTTTTTAACATCTTTGTTTTATGTTGTATATTTTGTGTGTCTTATTGCATATATATTACCTTTCCCGACCTGCTCCAACACAGGTAGTGCTTCTGCAAGTGAAAATATGTTTTTTTGTGAGTTCTCATGTCTCAACATAGGGAGTATGTTACAAACTATATGGGCCACAATGCAGTTGTTACACGTCAAAAGACTACTCACTACATGTTACTGATTGGAACAATGCATATAGATATAAACACAATAGCACAAAATACTCACGGTGGCCGAAGTTTTGGATATCTGAAATAAAAAATATTAAATCATGTATTCAAGCAAACATTTCGTTTGGCATAAGATGACATATGAACATAGAACAGTATGGACTATGAAGTGTACTTGTCATGTTGGCATTCATATAGGTCTTTAGTCTGACAAGGAACGATTGCAAAGAGTACACCTTGGATTAAAAACACAGGACTGTGCTGGGTAAACAGACACAAAATGGAAGACGTCTCAATCCAATATCAGGAATTTGCCTCCACTATATACTCGTTCTCCCATTAGTGGAACGTTCCTGAATATTGAAGTCCCTCCTCTCAAAACTATTAGCAACCACAGCTGCTTACCTTGTCCGAACTTCTCGAAGCCAGACTTCAGGGTGTCGAGGAAGTTCCTCCTCCCCAGCGTGTGGAACAGACTCTCCAGCTCCTTCTCAACTTCTGAGATCGCTGCAGTGATAAACAAGCGGACATACCTACTGTAATGACAATCAGTCTTGAGTTCCAAACTTTCACACGCTAGATGATAGATTATAAGGACAATGGAGCAAATAGAAATGACGCCAGAGCGTGAGAATGGACCAAGTTAATAGTACAAACAAATGTTACAGGAAGTGGTGAAACCATATTTGTACATCGGAAATATATATGTAACAGTATCCTTTTAAAAGTACTGACACAATGAACTCTGTGTATACAGAAGGCACACAATACACGTTTTGGGGCCGACATGTGGATCACATGGACTACACATAGGTTTGGGGGCCAACATATATATATGTTTATTCATGTATGGGAGGCCAATGGTCCAATGTACATATCAGTTTTATATAGTAACACACAATTGAGGCAATTTACATTGGAAACAATACTAAGGGTACAATATTAGGTCTTTGTACGTAATAATAGAGCTTCCTTCACATACTTAGCTACATTTCTGAGTATACAGTCATTTTGGCTATTTAAGAGATTGCTAAAAGTATTGATACATAGATTGTTATATAATCTTACATCAATATACTTTAGTCTTAATGATGCGTAAAACGGGCAGACAAACACAAAATGGACTTCGTCCTCAATACAACCATTGTTACATAGCCGACAATAGCGTTGTGAATAAACAATATCCTCTCTTCTGCCCAGATTACTCCGTATGGGCAATTCACTTAATCTCAACAGGCACAGCATACGTCTATGGTCTCTATTTCAGAAAGCTGTAACATAATATTCCATATCCAATAATATCTTGACGTGTGAATAATACCTTAATTATCCACACCTCTTATATTTTCATCTGCATACTCTGTTTGTTACAATCCAATAAACGCTTTCTAAACAGCTGCAAGATGTTTTTTCTAACACATATAGATCACATGGACTACACATAGGTTGTGGGGCCAACATATAGGTCATACGGACTGCATACAGGTTGTAGGGCCGACATATATATCACAACTTCTTTCAGTGGCATTTAGAAGTTGGTGTGATGAAGTAAGACGAGTTCTATGGATTATAGATCGAACTTCTTTATTACAATTAGTGCGACGTTTCGGTGTAGATCCTAACAACTTTATCAAGCAAGTGATCATCACAGAACTCGTCTTACTTCATATATTTCACAGTTACTATCCTTTAATACTGGTAAAATAATGTATGTTCGCTTGTTGTTTAGGTCATACTCATCAACATTCCAACCTCATGTTGGTCTGTAAAAAATCGAATCCGTCCCAGACACTTCAGAGATTGACATCATGAGCATCAACCTACTGAGCTGGGATACAATGACATGCATCAACCTACTGAGCTGGAATACAATGACATGCATCAACCTACTGAGCTGGGATACAATAACATGCATCAACCTTCTGAGCTGGGATACAATGACATGCATCAACCTACTGAGCTTGGATACAATGACATGCATCAACCTACTGAGCTGGGATACAATGACATGCATCAATCTACTGAGCTGGGATACAATGACATGCATCAACCTACTGAGCTGGGATACAATGACATGCATCAACCTACTGAGCTGGGATACAATGACATGCATCAACCAACTGAGCTGGGATACAATGACATGCATCAACCTACTGAGCTGGGATACAATGACATGCATCAACCTACTGAGCTGGGATACAATGACATGCGTCAACCTACTGAGCTGGGATACAATGACATGCGTCAACCTACTGAGCTGGGATACAATGACATGCATCAACCTACTGAGCTGGGATACAATGACATGCATCAACCTACTGAGCTGGGATACAATGACATGCATCAACCTACTGAGCTGGGATACAATGACATGCATCAACCTACTGAGCTGGGATACAATGACATGCATCAACCTACTGAGCTGGGATACAATGACATGCATCAACCTACTGAGCTGGGATACAATGACATGCATCAACCTACTGAGCTGGGATACAATGACATGCATCAACCTACTGAGCTGGGATACAATGACATGCATCAACCTACTGAGCTGGGATACAATGACATGCATCAACCTACTGAGCTGGGATACAATGACATGCATCAACCTACTGAGCTGGGATACAATGACATGCATCAACCTACTGAGCTGGGATACAATGACATGCATCAACCTACTGAGCTGGGATACAATGACATGCATCAACCTACTGAGCTGGGATACAATGACATGCATCAACCTACTGAGCTGGGATACAATGACATGCATCAACCTACTGAGCTGGGATACAATGACATGCATCAACCTACTGAGCTGGGATACCAAGTAAGCGGGTCTGATCACACGATCCCGTTAGTCGCCCCTTACAACAAGCATGGGTTGCTGAAGCTCAATTCTAACACGGATGACCAAGGAGTCAACACTCGTGGTTCAGACGGGGACGAGTTAGAAGTACCAACCCTCATGTTCTTTGGCGATGACCTCGGTAGTCAGGTCCTGCAGCAGGTTGGCTTGGCTCACGGCGAGGATGCAGAGAACAATGAAGACCCTCATGGTGCTGAATAAACACACAAATAGTAAACAGTTTGTGCAGATAGACGTACGTCAGCTGTGGTGCATGCTCCTGAATAAACAGACAAATAGTAAACAGTTTGTGTAGACAGACGTACGTCAGCTGTGGTGCATGCTGCTGGATAAACAGACAAATAGTAAACAGTTTGTGCAGACAGACGTACGTCAGCTGTGGTGCATGCTGCTGGATAAACATGCAGCCATTTCAATTGATGTGGTCTGATCTACAAGTAACCTCGGCTAAAGCACCTGTTAACGTGGGTTACAGTTATGTGACAATCCTGCAAGTTCTTGAACATTCGTTCACGGGGGTTGGTGCATAGCGCTGGAGATGGTTGGACATGAAATCATCAGACAGAGAAGTTCTTCGACAGACTTTTACACGAACACATGCACATTTTTTACTCACGTCTGTAAACACACACTTGTGTCGTGCGAACGAATTCGGCCACGTAGGTGGAGTAACTTCAGATGTAAATATCCCCTTATTTGTGGTGATATAAAAGTAGTGTTTCACACAGTTAAATTATGTAAATTATATATTGGTCAAACGAATGATCAGTAATATTTCTGAGTATTTCATTTGATTTTCATGCCACAGACGGTTTCATCAATTGTTTATATTTAGCTACAGTCTGTCTGAATGCTGTTGCAAACTCTGAGTATGGTTGCGAGTATGGCGGCAAACTCTGAGTATGGTTGCGAGTATGGCGGCAAACTCTGAGTATGGTTGCGAGTATGGCGGCAACCTCTAGAGGGACGGGGCAGGATGTTTAACATCCATCTTGATGTCTCCGTTAGAACTAACACCCGTACAAATCACAGACAAATATTCTTACATTTTGTTATAACCATGCGAACACATATGAACTTTACATTACCTGCGTGAGAAAATTAAGTCATTAACAAATAGAACTAACTGTATTGCAAGCGTTCGTGGGGTGAGAGTGAGTGAGTGAGTGAGTAAGTGGCTTCATGCGCTTTTAGCAAGATTCCTGCACTTTCACAGCGACGGACATCAGAAATGGGCTTCACATATTGGAGTGAAAATGTACCGGTGATATATCTAAACATGTCCCATAATGTATAAGGTCAGGTATTCCACATCGTATGTCAGTTTCACCAGTTCTCCCAGATGACATTGATTGGAGCACCTGTAGTTGTCTGAAGTAAAGGATTACATACCTACTTTGTTAATGGCCGGCTTGGACACTGGGCTGGGAGAGGCGTGGCGTTATATACACACAGCAGAAGGAGTGGACAAGGCCTGCCCTTGTGCACTCCTTACTTTCTGATAACGACATAGACATTTGCTTCTTTCTCAGCGTGTCTTACCGCTGTGTCTACTTTGAACGCATCATCAATAGACTGTTATCTTTCCCAACAACGGTTTTTATTGAGGTCGATGTTTGCTTGTGACTCCAATGATTCCGGTTTCTAGGTGGATTAAGATAATGGTTTAGGAATATTTTGCTTTGCCATCACAAATGTGGACTGTTTTTATGACAGTTCTTTTCAAAAGGACCACTGCAAGCGGTAGTCGAGTGTGTGCGATAGGTTGAACAGTTTTAGGATCATTTCAACAGTACAGAGTCACTCATGGATTTACAAACTTGCTCCTGAGGGAAATAACCCTTCTGGGAATAAAAGCAACAAATCCCTTTCAGGGTTAGGGTTAGGGAAGTCTCTTATAGATATTCCTTTGTTGTGACGGGTGCCACATGGTAACATGACTATTTGATAGTGATTCATAAACACATGCTCCTTTTATTGGATATGGACAGTGTTTTGTCTCTTCAGTTACCAGTATTCCAGCAATGCCTGTTCTCTGTCATTCGTTCCGTTTATTTGTCTCACTTATCATACTTTCAAATGCATACAGCTGTCTTCTCATCTTCCACAAGTTCATAATATTCTTAATGTTCATAATAATAATGATATATTAACAGTATCTTTAACAACATGATGGCATGATTTTATTACCGTCTTCACCATGCTTGAGGTCCAAACATAGTATGACCCACTATATAAGTAGAGGGCGTCATGGAAAATGATAGTTATAAAATTCTTTAGAATACAGCCTCAAAAGCCAACAAACCTGAACATGTCCTGTTGGATAAATCCGCTTAAATCATTTATATAATTAATTTCTCCGTCCCTTTTGATAACTAATTCGATTGACACGCTTCAAGAAAAACTTGGCATATGTCATGCTTGCATCCAAAACCATCAATATGTGATACCAGGTGTTCGCGAAAAGGCGAGAATATCCTCCCCATACCAGTGTCACCCTCATAAATAATTTCAAAATAGAGTCAACTGTTCACTTGCAGAATTTTATATTTATAATTTTCCATGACAAACTCTGACATATTCTGGGTCGTCCCTTCCATGGACCTCTGTGTCAAGACGAAGACGGTAACAAAATGATCGAGCCACTGATACAGTGTTTGTGCCAAAGTTGGGTATCCAATGACAATAAGTTGTACAGTCTCACTAAATTCATTGCATATTCTACATTTCATATTTACATTTTGATGCAAAATCACAAATTGACGGTTTCACTTCTGTTTCATTTTTCAGGCCAGCCGACTTCATCTAAGCGAAGGTCTCTGCTGGAATGCTGATCTTCTAAACATACTGCACATAAACTCGATGCAGAAGTCGTTCAGAAAGCCTCTCCATGAAAATCTGAGTCTGTGCCGATTTGATATGGCTCTTTTACTTGGTTGATACTCATTCCTGTACCGTCCAGCAGTACAGAACCATCAACTAAAGCAACATTGACATTAAGATTATGTTTTCATAAAATATAATGAATCTTGACATGCTTCACAAGAGGATCACAAGAAAAACAAATGTGCAAAAGTACAATTATTACAATTATTAAAATTTACAGATTAAATAAAAAATGCAGCAAAGAGGGTTTGGATGACCCTGGCGGTCAGACTGGTTACGCCCATTATCAGCTCGGGGCTCTTGCCCCCTCTACACGCAGTCCAGAGAGCGAATGGGAATTCTCCCTGGAACCGCTACCTCGTAAAACCCACCTAGAACTTTCCGGAGAATGTGAAGACTCCCCAAGACTGCAGCCTTCAACATTACCCAGATTGTCAGAAGGGCTGATAGCAAACCCGGGTACTCTCCCGATGTCAGTCAACAGATGGTGCTTGTGCTCTGCAACAACAGCTTTTGAACTGGCTGGTTTTTGATGCCTCGAGGTCGCAGTTTCCAGAAGGATGTCTGTACCTATGTAAGAGCGAGAAGTGAGCGATTTGTGATTTATTTTATTCTCCAGAGCAGACAGGAAACTATCTTAAACACAGACTTTTCCCCCGCTCTTTCCTTGATTCATGAACAGAGCACGTGCCTCATTCAAGATATTCCAATATGACAAAGTCTGCAAGTCGTTAGTGCACTAACTTATGTAATATGACCTATTATATATTGATAAATGAATGTAAACCTAATCCTACATGTTTCAATATAATTTGTTAATTGTTCATTGATTTTGTCTGGGTAGGTAGTACCGACTTCTGGGTTAACCTTCGCTTTTGAACATGGGAATCAACACTTTTCAAATGATTAGCATCAATTTTACCAAATTGCACGGATAACATGGTTGAGGAGTGCAGTCCTCACGTTGATACGAAGAAGTAGTTTACATGATGTTTCAAACATTGTGGAGTACAAGAAGAAGACATGAAAGTGTTATGGATACAAACTTCTTCACATAATGTTCAAAACAGTTATCGTCTTTGAGAGGCATTTAAGACATATGGATGAACAACCTCTTCATTACAGTTAGGAGTGACAGGTGTAGGTTCTAACACTGTAATCAAAACTGATAGTGCCCACATCACACAACAGAAGAAACGTTCGACTCTGCAATATTTCATGCAATCCAAAATCATCAATTATGTCATAAGACTTTGACTTTTGTTGAAACATAAGCAGGTCGTCTGCCGTCGTGTTTGTGCAGTGCTAACGGGAATAGTTGGAGTATACAAATGGTGTCCTCTTTTATTTGTTTTTCAAATAAATACGAACGCGATTTGATTCATATATTGTCTCTGCTGGGACAGACCGGCACTGTCTATTTGACTTTCCAACCGAAATCGTTAAATGCGTTATGTATGCACAGCATAGGTACTACACATGCTGAGGTGAGTGAGTGATCTAATGGCGTCACGCTTCATTTTGTTACATTGCCGCCCTTGTAGTGTTTGTCAGAATGTACTGACAATGAGAGTTGGTTTCACACATGGCACACAACACGAGTACACACATTCATGCTTCACAGAACAAACAAGGAGGCAATGTTTTATGATGTTCTTTTATTCTAAATCCCTTGAATACTGATTTAATGTCCCGTCTGTTTTGCAGCTACATTCTTAATCTGAGTGAAGACGGATCCCAGTTGAGTCTGGAATGGCTTGAAGAACTTGACGGCCTCGGCAGCGACTTGTGCGGTGGCTTGTCCAGTGTTGGCAAGGAACTGGACAGAGACACAGATAGTTGCAAGAGTTTATCATATTGTACATGTCTTGTCTGTGTATCAGGGGGTGGATACTGACAATTATGTGTGCGAACAAAGTGAAACTTCAAGTAGAAGATTACTTTTTGACCAAGAATATATTTCCTGTTCAGGGTATTCACTTGCATTAAAACTGATAGTGCATACTGTCTGGCCAAGGCCGTGTATACAATGTCCCCAATAATCTCAGTAAAATTGTTTCTTTGGAACTTGGAGAGTGTTCGCAATCACTATTTCCAAGTATGTATCAGATGTTATGACATGTTATGTCTTGACAGGCCCCTGAATACAATGCTTCAGTGGAACTTTGTGTCTGTGAGAACTCCTGAATACAATATTTCTATGGATACAGTGTTTCAGTGGAACTGACTGTCTGGACAAACCCCTGAACACAATGTTTCAATGTTACTTACTGTCAGGAAGAACCCTTGAATACAGAACTATGGAACTTACTGTCTGGGTGATTCCCTCAAGGTTACTGTCTGGACGAGGCCCTGAATGCAGTGTTTCTAAGGAACTTCCTGTCTGGACAAAGCCCTGAACACATTGTTACTATGGAACTTACTGTCTGGGCGATGCCCTTAAGGTTACTGTCTGGATGAGGCCCTGAATGCAGTGTTACTATGGAACTTACTGTCTGGGCGATGCCCTTAAGATTACTGTCTGGACGAGGCCCTGAATGCATTGTTACTAAGGCACGTACTGTCTGGACGAGGCCCTGAATGCATTGTTACTATGGAACTTACTGTCTGGGCGACACCCTTCAGATTACCCAGTGCCGGGGTAAGACCTTGTTCGGCGGTTGACTTCACGCTGTCAAAGAATCTTTTAAGGTCTCCAAAGGCGGTGCCAGACAGGAGACCAAGAGTGTCACCCAGTGTGTCCTTCAATCCGTTGATAACATCGCCGAGAAGATCACGACGGCTGTGCTTGGAGAAGAGCTGAAAACAGACAGCACTGTCACAACTCTCCGCTGTACTGTATCTGGAATAAGCACCTCTAGTTTAACGTTATTCTTAAAAAAACTGAAGGGGATTTTCGGAATTTAAAAAAAACATCCACGTTTTTATGAGATATTAGCTTCTAGCAATAGTTGCATGATAATAATTGACAAATTGGCAACACATTGCAAAGTAGTAAAGTATGGTAGTAGATGTTATGACCGACAATGATCTTAAAAGACAATGGTGGTAAGATGGGGAAATTGACGAGTTTGGATCAGTAGAGCGCTATTCCGCCACGACTTAAATATTCATTCATTCGCCGAGGCAAACTGCGTATTAGTCTCCCTATGAAGATTTGAGGGAATCTGTCCCACTCCTCTTGCAGCGGCTGACCACGCTCAGCCTGTGCTATTGCTGCTGCAAGAGGCGAGGATTCACGATTCGTGCATGGTTCAAACTTGCGTTGTCGCACGGGACAACAAAGGTTGTCAGTGTGTTGTCCCAATAGTCCTGTCCAGTGACCCTTCCGTGAACAATATGGAGTGCGTTTCAGTCACAATGATGCCACCCCACACCATAACCGATCCTCCGCCAAATCTGTCATGGTTGATAGGTTGACATTGGTTTGACGTTCATTTCGATGTCGCCAGATGTCTATCAAGTTAATGAAAAGTGGATCGGGACGCATCTGAAAACATGACACGTGACCAGCGACGATAATCCCTGGCTCATACTTTATTGGATACTGTCGGCTATATG